CTGCCCTTGGCTGTCTTCATTCTATTCTAATGCATTAGCTGAGTGGTCTGTAAACCTGATTAGATCATGCTGCCCCTCTGCCTTCTCTTGTTATCTCCTGCTTTTTGCTCAAGCATCTGCCCTGTACCCCCACTTCCCATTGCTCCTCACATGCTAGGCACTTCCCAGCCTCCGGTTCTATGTGTTTGCTCTTCCTTGCCCAAAATGCTCTTCTTCTCCTCGTTAGTGTCTGTAGGCCTTATTCCCTGACAGACTTATTTAAAAAACAAAATGTCCACCAACCAGTCTCAATCACCTTTTCTGCCTTTTCCATAGCTCTTAATACCTTTTATTACATGAATGTGTATATATATTACTTTATACTCTTATACTGTGTAATACATATGTTTCCTTTTTTATTCTTTGTCTCCCCAATTAGCCAGGGTAAAGATATTTTTCTGTTATGTTCACCGATGAAGTTCAGCTCTTAGAACTTTGTAGATAAGTAAATATTTTTAAATGAGTAAACTCAGTGAGTGCCTTTTTAGTGCTGTTTATCAAGTTACATGCTTTTCTTTCACTACTAAGAAAAATGGGCCACCATTTTAGGTCCTTGCCTGCGTTTTCTCCCCTCCAAGTATTAACCAGATGTGACTCTGCTTAGCCTCTGAGATCAGATGAGATCAGGGGTGTTCAGAGCCGTATGGCTGTAGACCATGATTGTGTTTTCTAATCCAACCTCAGCATGCAGTCAGATGATAAAAGCTTGTTTGTCGAAGTTAATATGATGGATCGTAGAGAACAAGCTGTGTTTTAGATTCAAGATAACTGCAGCAGCACAACAGAATTCTAAAATAAGTGGATCTTTAAAAGTAAATGGCAGTTATCTCTCAATAATGCCATACAAAGAACGAACACTTGCGGCTGGTGGTAGAACTGTGGTGGAGCACATACAGGGCTAGAACCCCAGCAGTGAAGAAGGAAGAGGGGCCAGAGGAAGAATGACTACAAGTTAGAGAAATATTAAAGATGCCTTCTGAACAGACCTGGAGGAAGGCTGTCACTATCAGTTTGCAGTCTGTGGATTTTATTTAAATAGAATCTTACAATATGTACTTTAGGGTAGGGATCTGGCTTCCCTCACACAGAATAATTATCTTGAGATTCATCCATGCCATTGTACGCATCAATAGTTCATTCTTTTGTATTACACCATAGCAATATATTATAATTTTGTCCACTCTTTTTTCCCATTTTTATTTTTGACAGTTTCATACACATATACACAATGAATTTTAGTCATTTTTTGCTGCCCATCTCCCTCTCTCATAGCCCTCCTTCTCCCGCTGAAACCTTTCTTCTTCCCAACAAGTACCGCCACCTCCATTTATTGACCTCTCGATGGGCATTTTTCTTATCCTTGTCACTTTCTATAAACTGGCAGTGATGTCTAAAGACTTGACTGGAGTCAGGTTAGGTGTGTGGGCAAGACCACTTCCTGCATCATACTGTATATACAATCAGGAAGCACATAAAGCCTGATCCTGCCAGCATTGCAAAGCTGATCACCATCTAACAGAGATCTGCCTGCCTCTGCCTCCTGAGTGCTAGGATTAAAGCTATGCACCACCATGCCCAATTAAATTATTTTTTTGCATTTGGTAATTATTTCACATGCACTGGTTTTCCTTATATTGGTTGTTTTTATCTCCATGGCTATACTTGTATCCAAATCTATTTTCACTGCTTTTATTTCCATTTTTGTGATTTTTTCTCCCAAATTTTATAGTTATTATCATTTTATAGATCTTTTTTGTTTGTTTGTTTTTGAGACAGGGTCTTCCAGTAGCCCCAGCTGGTCTGGATTCGCTATGGAGACCAAGCTGGCCTTGAACTCACAGAGATCCGCCTACCTCTGCCTCCTAAGTGCTGGGATTAAAGGCGTGTGTCACCACGCCCCGCTCATTTTATAGATCTTGAAATCAAAACACAGATATAGTGAATAACTTTTAGGATAAATCATAGTCATTTTAAAGTAGGGTTGGGACGTTCATGCAGATTTGCTGATTCCAGAGTAAATTTCCATAATGAAAATTGATACTTAAATTCCCTTTGTGTGCTGATTCTTTATATCGTTTTGGATTTCCTGTACTATTCTGGCTTGTTTGCTGCACCGTATTTGTTGCATTTCTCTTTGCACTCATATTGTCTTGCTAGTTTATTTATTTTGAATTTTTAAAGATGAGAGCCTACTATGTTGCACCAGCTGACCATGAGCTCATTGTATGGCCTAGGTTGGCCTCAACTCCTGCTACCACACTTTATTTTTTAACTCGATTTTATTTTGTGGCACTTAGTATAGAACCCAGGGCCTTCCAGGTGCTAGGCCAGCATTCTACATCCCAAGCTCATTTTAATATGGCAAATGTTATTGGTACCTCTTTTGTCCGGAAATAAAGTACATACATTCTGGGCTCTCCTTAATTCTGACCTCTGAACTGCTGATCCCTTCAGGACTTTAGTGTCAAGGCTGTGTTCTTATAAGTTATGTTTTCTGCATTCCTTTTACTTGAGAGGATGGGATTATCTCAGTGAAGCATAGGTTAATAATAACCGATAACTTTTGTCCTTTTGGAGATGAAGAGTAGAGGTGGGGTTATCAGTCTATTAAGTTTAAAGCAAATAAATAAACACCACAGAACTACACAGAGCAATTGGCCAAACCTATCAAGGCCAAACCTATTAAGAATGTATTTAACAGCATTGGAAAGATGGCACAGTTGGTCAAGTGCTTGCTGCACAAGCATTAAGATCTGAGTATGGGTCCCCACCACTAATGGAAAAAGCCAGATATGGTGGTGCATTCATGTAACCCCAGTGCTGGGGAGTGGGCAGAGACATGAGGGTCCCTGGGGCTTACTGGTCAGCCAACCTAGCCAATGGCTGAGCTTCAGATTCAGTGAGAGACTCTGTCTCAAAAAACAAGTTGGAGAGCAACAGTGGAATACACCCAACATTGATCTCTGACAGCTGTACACGTGCAGATAAACTTGTACACCAAAATGCACACACACATACACACACATACACATAAACTGTACAACATACACAAAAAGGGAAAAGGTGTATTTTATCTTTGATATAGAAATACCATTTGGTGGAGCTATTTTACAGATAAGCTGCTTGGACAATATGAAATGACTTTTCTTTGAAGTCATTCATAACAGAGTCATTCATGATAGTAATAAACTAGAAACAGCTTACATATACGAGGACAGGGAATGGTTACATTGCATTCACATGCTGGAAGATTATGCAGTTGGATAAATGAGGAAATTCTCTAATACTGACATAAAAGATGCTGAGGAGACAATATTGGGGGAAATATACACCAGTGTTTGTCTACTGCTGTTCTGCACATACATAAATGATGACTCTTTTTGAAAAATTAAATAATACGTACACTGTTCATAAAGAGTGAAGGGAGGACAGCAATAGGAAGGCATGCAGTAGGGCAGGGTGAATGGGAACAAGTGAGATTTTTTCAAAGCCATTTTGCATTTTAATCATTATTTTTTTTAAAGGTCAGCTAAATATATAAACAAGCATTAGGGGCAGTGAACTCATGAGACCTTCTCCAGTAACAAAAGGCAGCAGTGAATCTAGACCAGGGAAGAAGGGGCAAATTACTTTGCCTTTATTATTTGAATGTATGTGGGTTATATGTTAGAGTTATGCCTTAGTATAGTTCTTGGCTAATTAGTTCAATGCTTGGTTTACTAGTGCTGAACTTAAAGCACAGATACTGTGAATAACAAGCAGTAGCCAACAATTCCTTCACTAATCAGATGTAATAGCAAGTGCTTTTAACCTATACATACATTAGAATAAGATTCTGCCTGTGCTTTTCTTAACAACCTCACCATTTTTGTTGGATAGTTTCTTCTAAATCTGAATTATGTAAGCATCTGTAGTCATATTAAGTCATTGTGAATATATATATATATATATTTACATGACCACTGATCCTACGTATGTGGCAGTAAAAATAAGAGACAGTTGACTCCAAAGAATGGGAGTTGAGAAGTGAGCTGGGAGAAGGGAACTATCTGCTCAAAAGCCTAATTTATTTTTGAACTCTGGTCTTTGCACATAGATAATAAATAATATAGCCTACAGCTCATAGTTGAAAACATGAAACCTATATTCATCTATTCTAAGTTTTCTGTCTTTTGATGAAAGCATCTCTCTTGAAACAACATTGACAGCCTTTTCTGCAGCTATTTAAATTAAGTTCATAGAGAGTACTTTTCCTTCACAGCTGATCTGATCTGATTTGGACTTTCAGATGATGACAGAATGAATGCAGACCACATCATTCTTTCCTGATTTCACTGAAGACAACTGCTAGTCTTAGTTACTTGATTTTGCTTCCAAACTGAGCCAACTTTTCTTGGGTGAAAAAATTATATGTTCTTTAACATTTCTAGGACTACCTGGAAAAAGGTTTTTCATGCATCCTAATACCTTTTCAATTAATTCTACCCCCCCAAAAAAATGTCATTGATTTCTGAGCGTGGCTCCACTGGGCATCACAGATCTTCTCTTCACTCTAGCTTAGTAGAGTGCCTGCCAGTCGTCTTTGGACATTTGCATCCTCTTTGAATTTATGTTTGATACCAAAAGTGAATTTATTTATTCAACTATTGTAGTTTAACATTTGAATATTTTGGCTCTTTATATTTTCCCCTTTCTACTTTGTACAGTGATTTAATGGAGGAAATTGAATTTAGAGTCCATAGACTTAAATATTTTGTTTTAACCTGGAATTTTGCAGTACTAATATAATACCACTTAAAATCCAAGTGTCTCTTGTCTGTGGTGGCCCTTGTGAATCTCACAAAAGAAAGTTTAGTTTCTTAATTGTCTGTCATTTCTTTTTTAGGACCTTATATTCCAGTCTTGTTTATAATGTCTTGATTAAATTTAACAATATTCTGCTTTGTTCTTTTTCCTTTAAGGTTGAAAAGAAATGCTGAGACTCAAATAAAACTTCCTTCTGCCTTGGAAGTTTGCCATGGGCATTGGGAAGTCTAAAATAGATACCTGCCCTCTTTCTTGGCGTAAAAGACACAGTGTGGATACGAGTCAAGACCATCCCGAGTCAGAGTCCAAGAAATCTGAGCATGTGTCCTTGCGTGATGTGGAGCAAAACAATACAACAGAGCGGCCGACAGGCGAGCAGGAGGGAGCTGAAGCAGTAGGGGGCATGCCTGAAGAGGAAACTGAGGAAGAAGCATTCCTCAAATTTGTGATATTGCATGCAGAAGATGACACAGATGAAGCCCTCAGAGTCCAGGATCTACTACAGAATGATTTTGGTATCAAGCCTGGAATAATTTTCGCTGAGATGCCATGTGGCAGACAGCATTTACAGAATCTAGATGATGCTGTGAATGGATCTGCATGGACAATCTTATTATTGACTGAAAACTTCTTAAGAGACACCTGGTGTAATTTCCAGTTCTACACATCCCTGATGAATTCTGTGAACAGGCAACACAAATACAACTCTGTTATACCCATGCGGCCCCTGAACAACCCTCTTCCCAGGGAAAGGACTCCCTTGGCTCTGCAAACCATCAATGCCTTAGAGGAAGAAAGTCGGGGCTTTTCTACGCAGGTAGAAAGAATTTTTCAGGATTCTGTGTATGAGACACAACAAACTATATGGAAAGAGACACGAAATACGATGCGAAGATAGTTTATTGCCTGAGATGTAACAGGCTAACTCCTGTTTTATAAACCAAATGATTAATCTACACTTGAGAATGCAATTTCTAAGAGACACTTAAATGAAAGTGAGCCTGCTCTAAGGAAACCCATGGAGCACAAGAAAGCATACATTTCTGCAGGGCTAGAATTGTGACACTTTTTGATGTTAAACCCAAGATTTTTTTGAGTTTCAAAAACTTTCCTTTCATAGTTTTCCAAGTTCATGGATATTCTTAACTCCTGTTCATTATATGAACCAGGAATAAAAATGTACAATAGACATTTTCAAAGTATGAAGGCAAAATAGGATAACAAACTCCTCAAAGGACATGAAGAAAAAAAATGGCTCCAAGCAGTCAAGCACCTCCTCTCCTACAGGGCTCATGAGTGTTACAACAGGACAGTCTCATGCTTTACCCAGAAACAGGGATTTCCAGATTAGGATATGGAATGTTGATGCTCCTGAGTGTGAGATCAGAAGTGGTTGTTAGACTGGTCAGGCTTCTGAAAAGAATCCAGTCAAATGTGCTTGCTTTCCTGCTTGAATTTGGAGCTAGTTTCCACCTCTGAGTGGTAGTCCTTTTGAGAGCGTGGTAGGCAGAGATGCTGCGCAGATTTGTCCTGATCGGAAGCTCTCACTGTTAGTGATCATCTATAACCAGGGCACCATTTGCAGAGCTGAAAAGTGTATGATTCACCAGCTGTTCGCCTTGAAAATCAATGACGTCTCATATTAGCCTTTAAAATATTCCCTTGCACACAACTCTCAACTCAGGGAATGTTTCTCATCTAGGGTGGTTGGGCTGTATGTGCGAGTGCGTGTGCATCTGTGTGTGTGTGTGTGTGTGTGTGTGTGTGTGTGTGTGTGTGTGTGTGTGTGTGTGTTGTGTTTTGGTTCTGAAGACTTAGGATGGAAGCAGAAAAAGTATTTTTACTATCTCCTCTCCCCCTTCTCACAAAACCAGAGGCCCACCCAGGCCTGTTCCTTTCCCTCACAGAACTTCTGCCCATCTGAGGCTGAGGCAGTGCCAATAAGTATAGATTAAGGATGGGGCAGAGTGAGTCATGTCACATAATGAGAAAGTGCCCATCAGGGGGCAGGAGACCTACTTGCAGTCCAATCTCTGCCACTGAGGATGAATACGACAGTGGGCAGCTATTCTCCTTTGTCTGTGAAATAAAAAGGTTGGATTGATGGATCGCTAAAGGCTTTTGTCCTCTCTCAGGATGGAAAAAACTGGGAACCAGAAAGGGGAACAAGCAAAGCCTTAAAATGTTAGGAGATGGTAATACAATAGTTGCAGAAGACTTTATGTATGCTTACAATGAAAGGGTAACTTTGTGCGTCTGCATCATAATTAATTCTTAGTGCCATCACTAAGAAAAGAATTACTGTATGTGGTTACTCAGTTTTTTTAAATAGATGTTTTTATAGGAACCCAAGAACAAAGACATTCTTCCTAGTCTGTCCTCCTTTTCCCCATCCCCACATCTCCGATTACTACTGGGATTTGGTCATATCTGTTTACAGGTTACCTCTTTGAGGCACAAGCCATCGTCCATCATGAGGAGCATGCAAGTCCCTCAGACCTGTCAGTACTTACCATTGCACCTTCTCAACCTTAATACCTCCATCACAGTAGCTCGCTACTCACTTTTCGTTTTTAGTTTTAATAAGTATTCCCCTTTTACCATAAGGCTTCCCGTATCTCAGATTTCATGTAATAATAAAACATTAGTTTCCCACCCTTCCAATGCCTGCCAAACTGGAATTGATTCTAAACAATATCTTTAAAATAAATATTTTATTCTTTACCGTTGACTACACCTGATTATTCCCATTTCCAATGAAAAGTGTGGAAAAGTGTTTTGAAAAGAAGCATCAATCTGCACACCCCAGAGAGCACAGCATGGTGTCTCAGCCAAGCTGGAGTTCAGTACTTTTTATAATGAAGAAATGTTAAGTGCTAGATAACTGTATGTGATAAAATTAACAAGATGTGATTATCAGAATAACTCAATTGAAGATAAAAGAGGCCAAGGTATGCGTTTGTGTGTACATGCACACCCATACATTTAGATGTTCACACCAAACAATTCTGAGAAACTCTGCCACATGCCAGGGAGTTTTTGAGTGCTCTGTGCCACCCTGGAGCTTCTCTAGAAGGCTCTGAGTTGTGCCTGAAAACAATTCCCCATGGCCTACACTGGAAGTATTATTTTCTAACTTAGCAAGGCATCTCAGCAGGTAGGATGGCTTAAAGAGATCATTCATCTGGTGTCTGGTGAGGACCTGTTCTGCAGGGATGGTGCTTTCCCACTGTACCCTTATAGGGCAGAAGAGGAAGCAGGTTCCAATAAGCTGATTTCATCAGGGCTTGCATCCTATTCATGAGAGCAGAGCTCTCTTCTCTTACTCTCCCAAAGGCCTTGTCTCTTAATATCATCCCATTATGGATTAAGTTTCAACATAGGAATTTGAAGGTTATACACAGTCCATCAGTCATCTCTAAACTGTGCTCTTAAGTAAGACACTTATCCCTGCTGAATCTCAGTGTCTTCCTTTAAAAAGAAAGATGATAATACCTGCAAAAAAGTTATTCTGAGGATTAAATGAAACAATATTTTCTCACCATGTCTGCTACTAGAATTATCGTTATTGCCTAGGCTGCATTTAATCTGAAACATAGGCTCAGGAGAGGGAGAGTATGTATTTATTCCCACCCACAACCCTACTCTTAGAACCACTGAAATTTGTAGAGAACAGATTTGAAACAAAAAGAAGGTTCGGGGCCTAGTTCTAACTGCCCTATAGAGGATACAGGGCACTGAAGAGAGGAGGAGCCTCCTGACCTGCCAGAGGCCTGTGAGCTGCTGGTAGTGGTGGGGGCATGTATTGGCAGGGAGGGTGCCTCAGTGGGGCCTCCACATCTCTAACAAGAAATTTGGGCCATAAATAGAAAAAGCAAAGAAGTAGAGTCTAGGAGTGCCAGCTTTGAAGCCAGTTCAGTCAAGAGTAGCCCAGGTAGGGATGTCTTCAGCCTGTTTTGCAGATGAATTCTGTACACATTTGTGTTTGGGGAGAGCAACTACAATCCACTTAATTTAGCCTGTTAGAGTGTTCAGCCCAGAGAGCTTTGTTTCGTTTGGGAACAGGCAAAACCTGGATTGCTGCCCTTCAGTTGGTTGGAGGGTAGGTAAAATAGTCATGGGTCCACTTTGCTCCTTCCTCTCCCATCAACTTGACTTCTACTTCCAGTTCAACAGGTCCTCACTAGGGTTAATCTTTTCCAGGATAAGGCAGAAATGCTTGCCTTGGCCCTTGACTTCAGCTTTGCATATTCCAAGGTATTAGCTGGGCCTTGGAGTGGAGCTGCAGCCACCTTACTGCATGGGATATGATGCTGCTATTCACAGAAACAGCCTTCTTGGGCTCCCTCACCCTTTCACCACAGCTCCAAGCCTGAACTCAGCCTGGTTGCTGGCTGTGGGCATTGTTCCCAAACCTGAAAAAACCCAGTTGCTTCATCTCTTGGAGTCAAGTACAAGATTTACATGTAGACAAGATCTTGCCAAGTCACCTCTCTGCCCAGCAGAAGACCCTTCAAGAAGGAGATCAAACATTTTTATGGGTTCATGGAGGTGAGACTGAGTTGAGGCCCAGTGCTGGAGGATAACAAAATTTTTCTCCAAGAAGGTAAAGGAACCACATGTCACACTGTTGAATGAGGCTATGTCCAACTCTGAGTGAACAGTGTGATCTGTGACTGGATGGGGCTTGACATGGGATGTGGGGGAAGCTGTTGCTATGACTTGGTAGGACATGGGGCCCAATGTGTTGACCTTGGCAGTCAGTGCAGCCTCTGTGGCTTTCTTCTCTTCACAGTCCCAGGTCACCTATTATACCGTCACAGCACATCACTGCACCTTCTTTGTGGTTTGAAGCACAAAGGAAATTTCAGAAGGCTGAAACCAAAGCCTCTGAAAGTTGGTACTGACATCTTTAAGCCAGTGATCAAGACAAGAAGCCATGCTGACCATGAACCTGGCATTTCTTATGAGGACCAATGGAAAAGTTTATTAGATTTTGATCATTAATGGCCATACTACTACAACTACTACTGCTGCTGCTGCTGCAGCTGCTACTACTACTACTACTACTACTACTACTACTACTACTACTACTGCTGCTGCCGCTGCTGCTGCTGCTGCTGCTGCTACTATTACTACTATTACTACTGCTACTACTACTACTACTACTACTACTGCTGCTGCTGCTGCTACTATTACTACTATTACTACTGCTACTACTACTACTACTAAGTTGTGTTTGGCAATCCTCACTGTCTATTAACATATTAAGTCTGAATAAGGGTAATTAGCATTTGAAGAAGCCATTAATTAATAGCTCACAGCATGAAAATTCTTGACTAAAACCCTCAACAAGTTAGCTTGTAAAAACACAAAAACAGATTGTTGCTCTCTCTTCTCCTTTGCTAATACACTGGTTCACAACTGTTTGCTCCCACATCCACACTCCTTCATACTGCCATCCTTTGTGTCATGAGTGAGAATTATTTTAGAGCTAGCGCCTTCATCTGGTGTAGCACCTCTCTTATTCTCCTCAAACACAAGGAGTTCTGAGTCATTTTACTCTGAAGTGCATAAATGAGAATGTTTTCATTAGCAAATGCAGGTTGCTGGAGATGTAGCTCAGTTGGTATAGTACTAGCATGCACAAAGCCCTAGCTTTGATCCCCAGCACGATATAAATTGGGCATGGTGGTTCATGATTGTAATCCCAGCACTAGGGAGCGGGAGACAGGAGAATCAGAAGGTCAAGATCATCCTTGGCTATATAATAGCAAGTTCCAGGCCAGCCTGGATATATGAGACCCTGTAAAAAAAGGAGGGAAGGGAAGGGTGATGGAGGAAGGGAAGGAAGAAGAAAGGATGGGATCAGGAATGTTTAAGCAGTTTCATTAATTTTTTTTTTTTTTTTTTTTTTTTTTTTTTTTGGAAAGGTCTCCCTGTAGCCCCAGCTGGCCTGGACCTTGCTATGTAGGCCAGGCTGGCTTCGAATTCACAAAGATTCACCTGCCACTGCCTCCCAAGTGCTGAGATTAAAGGCATGCACCACCATGCCTGGCAGTTTCATAATATTTTATCTTAATTGTGCATGAGTGCGTGTGTGCATGCGTGTGTGCGTGCGTGTGTGCGTGCGTGTGTGTGTGTGATGTGTATGTGCTAATGCTTGTGCACATGTGTGTGGAGGTCAGAGGTTGATGTTGGGTCTCTTCCTCTATTGCTCTCTACCTTATTTTTTGAGACTTTGTCTCCCACTGAACCCTGCCTCCCAAGTGCTGAGATTAAAGGCATGCACCACCATGCCTGGCAGTTTCATAATATTTTATCTTAATTGTGCATGAGTGCGTGTGTGCATGCGTGTGTGCATGTGTGTGTGCGTGCGTGCGTGTGTGTGTGTGATGTATATGTGCTAATGCTTGTGCACATGTGTGTGGAGGTCAGAGGTTGATGTTGGGTCTCTTCCTCTATTGCTCTCTACCTTATTTTTTGAGACTTTGTCTCCCACTGAACCTGAAATTCTCTGACTTGGCAAGACTAAGTGGTCAGAGAGCTCTAGGAATCCTCCAGTCTCTTCCTCCTTAATGGTAGGATTATAGATACATGCCACCATGTCCATCTTTTTACATGGGTGCTGGGGATACAAACTCATATCCTCCTGTGTTTTAGTTATATTTGTAAATAGCATTATGACATGAAAATGGCCTAAAATTAGATTGCAGTGATACTGCATGACTCTGCAAACGCACTAAATTCATTGAGCTTTCTGATTTGCA